AAAACAGGAGGGAGGCTGGGGAGAAGGGACACATGGGGACCACTACAATTCCTCCCTCCCCCACTCAGGCTTATCACCTAGGAGAGCACAGAGGGGATGGGAGCCAGTCTGGGCAGCCTGCCCTGAGGGGAAGGGAGCCTAGCTACCCCCTTCCAGCCCAAGTACACGTTGAGGAGTGGATGGGGAGAGGAGAAGCCAATCTGAAGTGGCTTAGCGGCTCAGTTGTTTCAGGCCAGAAGCCATTACCTTCCCGGAGAGAGAAGCCCATGGCCCATCTGAGGCTAGGGGCAGGGGCTAGTGCAGTACAGATTAGAATGAGACTCCAGCTCCGCCTGAGGCCTCTTTGCTTCCCCCCCTTCCCTTTCTCTGACCAGGTGAAGAGGCCAAGCCCAGCGGGCTCATCTCCAGCCTGGGCATGGGTGGGCAAGTGGTCTCTGCCCACAGCACCACCATAATTGATCGCACCTACTGGGTGCTAGGCCCCCAAGCATCTCCTGTTTACTTTGTGCCTTTGCCACAGCTGGACCCCAGCAGGGGCCTTTTCAAGAAAGTCATCCAATTATCTAGCCTGGGGGGCAAGACTTGGTAGTGGGAATCAGAGGATTTCCATATAGGGGGGTGCTGGGGTGGCTGCCTGCCAGGTGTACACAGCAAGCATGCTGTTTTACGAAGATGCCCTCCTATCTAGGTGGATCGGCATCGCTGGTGATGAAGGCGAGAGCTAAAGCCACCAAGCCACTAAGGCACCACCCTGGGTTCAAGCTCAGGGAAAGCATTTGTCTACCAAATCCCAGGCCCAGAAGCCACTCGAATTCAAGGTGGCGATCTTTTGAGTCACCCCCAACGTGGGTAAAGGGGGGCAGAGGTGAGCTTAAACCCTGGGTTTGGGCTGTGTGCCCATTCTTACCCAGGACTGGGGTTGTATCCAGCAGATTCTTCAACAGCCTGCATCCAGAGCATCCTGGGGAGGACATCTTTTGCCTCTTCAGTAAGAGCCTCCCTCACCTTCGCCAGGTGCTGTGGAGCCTCTGAGTTGGGCCTGAACAGGTGCTCCTCCCAACTGATGCCACTGAGCCTTCTTCTACCTCATGCCCCTCCAGCTCCTATCCCCTGCCTCTGCTGCTCTTGGTCTCTCTGTTTCTATTTCTATCTCACAGGGGCTCCTTGTTTCTGACTCTATCTCTCCATGAGCCTGTGAATCTGTATTTGAGTCTTTGTCTGATTCTGTATCTCTATCTGTATCTGCAGCTCTCTCTCTTTGGCTCTTGCTTGTCTCTCTTTGCCTCTGATTTCCTGTCTCTGAATCCTGGTGTTTCTCAGTCTGTGTCTCTCTATCCCTGTCTCCAGGCTTGTCTTTCACACTGGATGAGGCTCTATATGGCTCCAGGAGATCTTTATGGTCAGGTTCAAAGGTCACTGTAGCTCAAGAGCTGAATGGAGAGGGAAAGCTGGCTTGTTCTGAGGCTGGGAGACAGGGTGTCCTGGATGCTCAGTGTTCCCTCTGGGGGAGTTTTGTCCTCCAGAGTTTGCACTTGTACTTAGTCTGAGTCAGGACAGAGATACTCTGAAAGTTTTCAAAGGCTTAGCCTCCCACTTTAGACTATTTCAAGGGCAGGGCTTTGTCTCTATTCAGACAGGTAGCCAATCTCTCTGTAGGCTCTAGCTTCTCTTTTATGCCATGAGAATCAGTAGAGATGGCTTTTGGAGTAAACACAAAACAAACAAGCAAAACCCAGGTTCAAATTCTGGACCTGCTATGAATACACTCCGTGATAACGGGTAAGTTATTTGATTTCTCCCAGCCAGGGACATTCTCCTCATCAGTGGGGATACGAGCAGTGCCTATCTCTCCATATTATGGTGAAGATAAAGTGAGATCATGACTAATACACTTGACAGAGCCTGATTCAAGAACTGGAAGTCATTTTTATTGGGTTCCCCCATTTGCTTATTGAGCCCAACAGAAGCATAGGCCCATAGGATCTTGCTGAATGAATACAGATTTTCTCGTTGTTCATTTCCCTACTTTCTTTCTGTCTTTCTCTGTCTCAGTGCTTGGACAGGATGGGTCATAAGAGCCACTTGAGCACCCTCTATGTACTCAGCCTTGATCCTGGCTCTGCAGGTGGGGACAGGCTCTGTAAATCATAATGAGATCCAAATGTGGGGTTTGGCCCAGCAAGTTGGGATGGTCGTTGTGAAGTCTTAGGCTCTGAAAATAGTAAGACACTCTGAAAATTACAATGGGATCTGTAACAGCAATAGGCTCAGACATCAGGGAGGGGATGTGCTCTACAGATGGTAATAGGCTCTGTAAACATTGATGAGTTTGGCGTACAATTTCAGGCTCTGCAGATAATGCTAGGCTCTGCAAACAATAATGGGCCTGGTGAATAGGAACAGGTTCTGCAAATGGTAATGGGCTTTGCGGATAGTGATGGGAGTGGCAAGTCATGAAAAAACTGAAGACTAGTTCTTACCTATAGAGAACAAGGGGGAACCTGTGGATCCCTAAAGAGCAAGACTCTGTCTCAGTACCACGGACAGCAAGATCCACCCGCTTCCAGGCTCCACTAGACTCATCTGTCCATTGTTTTCATTGTGTGTTGATGTGTGTTAGGTCAGGGATGGAGGTGGGGGGTGTCCTGGAGAAGAAATGGGACAAGGAGAGGAATGAGTCTGTGTCTCCACCCTCAAGCCTTCTAGTAGGCTGAGAAGACAGACTTCTAAGATGCCAAATGGAGGGGATTGTGTCTGTATTGACAGATCTGCTCTCAGCCAAGCTATTTGTGAGGTAGAAGATGTCTTTCCACATTAGAGGCTCTCAGAATGCTAAAAGGGTGTTTAAACCATACTGGGCCTCCTGGGGAAACTGAGAAGTCAGCTTTGCAAAGCACGTCTTGCCGGCTCCAGCTGACCTTAAATTCTGGCTGGTACCTGAATAGCTTTGTAGCAATTTAAATTTCTCTGTCTGTCTTTTCCAGGTCTGGCCATATTAACAGATCTGTATGTCAGGGAACATTCATACCTCTCGGAGCACAGGGCCTAGGGAAGGCAAAAGCAAGACTCTGTTCTGGGTAGGCTGTGAGTAACCATGCTGAGGAACCAGTAGGGGTTGAGACTGGCATGGGACGATGACCATGCAGGTGAGACAGCCATGGAGATGGCAGTGGTGGTAATGTGCTAATAGAGGTGGGGAGAGAGTACGGGGTGTTGATAATGGTGGAGGTGACAGGGAAGTGATGGCGATGGCCAAAAGGTGGCAGTACTGTAGGCAAGGAAGTAAGCCCCAGTGGGAGGTAGCTTGGTAGAGAAGCTAAGAATTTGGCCTGCGTTTGACTTCTGGTTCTGACATTTGCTAGCTGTGTGACTATAGGCAAGTTAATTACCTTTTCTCTGCCTCAGTTTCCTTATCTATAAGATAGAGAAAATAATAATCCCTACTTCATCAAGGGCTGAATGAGTTAACATGCAAAATACTACCCCTCCAAAACACACACACCATGTAAAATACTTAGAGCAGGGACACCTGGGTGGTTCAGTTGGTTAAACATCTGGCTTCGGCTCAGGTCAGGGTCCTGGGATCCAGCCCCATGTCAGGCTCCCTGCTTCTCTCTCTTCCTCTACCCCTTCTCCCCATTCATGTGCTCTCTCTTGCTCTGCTCTCTCCCTCAAATAAATAAATGAAATCTTAAAAATAAAATAAAATAAAATAAAATACTTAGAGCAGCGCCTGGCACGGGGTGAGTACTATGTCAGTGACAGCTGCCGTTGCTCTTAAGGAAGGGGGGGCAGTAATGATGAGGACGGAGATGGTGGCAGTGATGTTGATAATGGTGAGGGCACGGATGGTAAAAGCAACCCTGCAGTTTATGGAGTGCTGACCACGTGCCCTGCTATTGGAAGCACTTTGCATGTAGTAACTTGAACCCTCTTAACCCTATGAAGTGGCTAATAACCCCATTTAAAAGGTGATAAAACACCTTTAGGCACAGAAGTGTTGAAATACCTGATGGAAGGTACACAGCTGGTAATTGGAGGAGCTCCAGAGCTATGCCCTTGACTCCTTGCTGGCTGGAGACCCTGGCAGACTTGGGGATAGCAAGGGAAGGATGGTGATGGAGGGAGCTCAGCATTGGTAATGGTGACAACAGAAGTGATGACAGCCCAGCGGAGGCCGGGAGGGGGGGGGAGGTGCAGGTGGGGGGGACAGTGAGGTCCTGCTCCAAGAACACCCCCTGGCCAAGCTCCCAGCAGGGCTCAGGGCTCCCAGGCAGCGAGGTGGGATAGGAACCCACAGTTTCGGCCGCTGAGAGGAGAAGGGGTGGGCTGGGGCTTTCCATTTCTCCACGGTCCCATCCTTCTGGGACTTGGCCTCCTTGGATCCGGATCTGGGAACTACCCAGCCCTCGCTACCTACCCCTCCAGCAGCACTAATGGCAGGGGCGAGCCACCCAGCCCATCCTAGAACTCTCCCGTTTGCGGCTGCGGGGGGGGGGGGGGGGGGAGCCTTAATAGAGACTCGGCCTCTGCGCTGCCGCTCTCCGCCCGCCATCCCGTCCCTATTATCAGCACCATCAGCGCCGGCAAATGACACTCTCGGAATCTTGACTCCAATCTGATGCGTGGTCCCCGGGGCCGCGGAGAGGCGCAGGCCAGCCAGGCTGGGGGGCTGGGGAGGGGCTGCGCGGTAATAGGATGTGGCTGAGGATGGTCTATTAGCAGCACAGCTGATGAGCCCCCTTCCCGGCCCCTGGGCCTCCCCACCCCTGCTTAGCCAGGCACCAAAGAAGCCTGGGGGGGCGGGGGGGGGCGAGGCGGGAGGCTGCTGGGGGTTTGGCTGGGCCATCTTTAAGCCTGGACACCAGGCTCCCTTGGGAGCTTGTGGGTGGGGAAAGGGAAGTTGGAGAAATGAGGCCACTCAGACAGTGTCTTAGACCATGTGTCTGGGGAGGAGAAGAGTTAGTCTGAAGGTGGATGATCTTTCCCTTTCAACCTAGGAGTGTCTCAGGGCCCAGGGTTTGGAAGGAGCCTCAAGAAGCATCCCATCCAGCCTTCCTTCTGCAGAATCTTCTTGAACTCTCCCAGGCATGGTAAGCTCAGCATCTCCCCAGCCACCTTGTTGCTTTAGTGCTCCCTTATTTGGGATCCTGATTGGCTTTTCTTGGTACCTGAGGTCCCCTAAGAAGCACTCACCTCACGACCAAGACAGGTGAGGTGAGGTTTCACGGGATTTGGGGACAGAAGATCTGTATCAAGTCTGCTCACCTGGTCCTCACCCCTCTCCATGGCCATAGATCTTCTGGCCTTTGTGTGTGTGTGTGTGTGTGTGTGTGTGTGTGTGTGTGTGTGTGTGTGTGAAGGTTCTAAGAGGCTGGGAGCCGGATGGCTAGACCCATTCCTGGGCCCCTGAGAGGCAGGGGAGGTAGTGGGCAGAACCCTGGGAGGGTGCAGGACACCCAAGTCCTAGTCTGGCTTGTCTGCCAGGTGACCATGGGGGAGTTACACTTGCTCACCCAGCCTCCTCCCCCATCTCCACCTCCAAGGGCCCTTCCTGACAACGGGAAATAATGAACCTGGCTTTTCTCAGGGGGCTGGGCAGATAAATGCTTTGGGAGGCAGAAATCATGAATTTGGCACTGAACAATCTGAGAGTAGGGTCTAACTAATACCCCCTCCACCCGCACATACACAGCACTAAGCAGGTGGAGGAAGATGAGGCTAAGAGCAGAAAGTGAACTTGCCCCCTCGCTTCCTTGGCCTAGCTGTCAGTGTGGGGTGCACCACGAAGGGGTCTTTTCTGCCCTGAGGGTACCTGGCAGGCTAGAACCCTGAGCACCCCTGCCTCTATCCCAGCTGGACAGGGCTCCCTCTGGGCTTTGAAATGGGATAGAGAGGCTGAACCCAGCTGAACAAGGATCCCTGGGCCCAGCAGAGGCAGAGGAGTGGGAAGGAGAGGAGCCCAGGTCCTGGCTCACAACCACAGGTCCTCCCCTCCCCCCAGGCCTGGGCTTCCGACCACAGCACTGAGCTCAATCTGTTCTGCCCAGTGCCCCTGCCATGCCCCACAATCCAGAGGCCACAGACATCCCGGCTGTTTGCCTCTGCTGCGTGCCTGCCCTCAGTGCCCCAGCAGGGGCCTGGCCATCAGTCACAGGGCTGGCTGGACACACGGTTGGATGTGGCCCAGCAGATGGCAGGCGGCAGGGGGCACTTGACTCCTGCTCATGAGCTCTTGGTGGCCTCTTTTCACTCTGCATCTTTCCTGCCCCCTTTGCTCTTCCCCAGCTCACCTGTGTCCTCACCTGTACATTGCTCTCCTTTTCTCATCACCTGTGCTCATCTCACCTGTCTTCTCACCTGTGCCCCTCTGATCTGCTCCCCTCTCTCCTCCCTCCTCAGACTCCTCTCCCTGCCCCTCCTCCCCAGTCAGTCACCTCCTCTCTTTGCCATTCTCCTGTTAGTCTCCCTCAGCCCCTTAGGGACCCAAGAGCCAAGATTCAGCCTATGGAACTCCATCTCCCTAACAACTGCTCCTACCTTAGCCAGGCTATTGCCTTCTCCAGGTGTCTGCCAGTGGGAAATTGGGAGCCCAAGCAGGACACGTTTTTTTTGACTCAACCAAGGGCATCCAGAGGTGGGAGGTGAGAGGAAGAGGCCTTGGGTGATTGGGGCCTGGCAGGGAGCTACCAAAGGATCCTGGCTGGGGAGCCCTGGGGAGAGGGCGCAGTTCTGGAGGTCAGACAGCAGGGGGCGCCCAATCCTTGCTCTAGTCTCAGAACCCACCGCTGGAGTCACTCAGAGCTAGAATGATCCAAAGACCTAAGTGTTGAGTACACTGTGGGTGGGAACCCTCAGAAAGGGGCCAGCTTTGTCCTGGTCTGAAGTTGGCCTTGTATTGTTAGCTTTTTAAAGAAACTTGCCTGTTTCTCAGAATAACTACTCTATTTGAAATCCTGCAAGGATTGAACTTGGGGCCTCAGACCTCTGGGGAGAGGGAGGAGGAAGAGCTGCTGGCATTTCTTGGAGAGGGTCATCTCCCTGCCCTCCAGCCGCCTTAGGAGCACTTTCCTCTCATCTACAGGCAGTGTCCTCCCTCCCTGGACTTCACCCCTACATCAGCTGGGGAGGCAGTAAGCGCACCTCAGGCCCACGGTTTCCCCAACGGACCTGTCTGGTGCTCAGCGGTGCAGAAGCGAGGGAGGGGCTGGGTGGGTAGACCATCCCTGTGTGGCAGTGTGGCTGTGTCTGTGACATTTTAATATATAATGTGTGCATGTGAGTGCACAGGTGTGTGTGGGAGAGAGAGAGAGGAGAGAGAGAGAGAGAGAGAGAGAGAGAGTGAGAAGCACACCAAGGTTCCTTAGGTTCTTTGCTCAGTGAAACCTCTGCCAGGTGCTGCGGTGCATCCCCCCCCCCCCGCCACTCCTTCATGAATGGCCTGAATCTGGGTGTGGGGTCAAAGCAAGTGTGAGTGACATTGACTCCAGCTGCAAGGAGAGGCCTCTTGGGACCTGCACCACCATCCTCTTTGTCCTCACTACCTAAAAGCCCACATAAGTTTAGGAGGGAAGGCCCAGCCTCAGGACTTGAATAATATCATAATAATTATGGCTCTGGGTGGGACAGCATGAAGGGCCTAGAAATGGCTTGGAGAGGACCCAGGCATCTAGAGACAGGGGGTGCCAGAGCAGACTTCGTGAAGGGGGCTCAGCCTGATGGCGAGGGGTCTTTTAGACAGCCCTGCGAGCTGGCAGGCAGGAGGGGTGGGCTGGCATAGTCATTTCAGGACCCAGAGACACCTTTCTAGGCCTCCCATTATGCTGGGAACTGGAACTGAGCTCCTCGGTGTAACACCCCCTCCGCCCTAAGCAGGCCATGGGAGGTTGGTAAATATCGTAATCAGATTAGTGGAGTGGAGGCGGCTGAGACTACGGTGGGAAAATGCTTCGGGCTGGCTAGGCCCCCACCCCTCTCCTGGGAATGCAGCCCTCTTGCCCTGCCCTGTCCCTCCGCGAGGGTCCCAAAGTAACCCTGGCTCTTCAGTGGCCTCTGCTGGCCCCAGGTGATCCCACCTGGCACCTGGCTCTCCCTGGATCTGGTGGAGATTTCGGAGTCCTCGGGGAGAGATGGAGCAGCAGAGAGCCCGGCCCTGCTGACAGCCCCTGCCCCAGGGAAGCTGGTCCTCTGGGTCGCTCCCTCAGCTAGCAGGGCCCCTGCCCTTTCCTCTGGCCACCACGACGATGTGCTTACCTGTGAGCCTGGGCTGAGGCCAGGATCCCAGGGTGGTCTTGGCTGGAGGGGGTGTCTGGTGGGAGGCGCAGGGGTTCATCAAGGTTGAGTCAGAGTCACTTCCCTCTTCAGTCTTCTCCATGGCCAAGCTGAGGACTGGTCAGACGGAGTGGAATGGGGCAGAGAGCCAGGCACACCGGGGAAATGGCAGGGGCATCAGGTCAGACAGGGGGTTGGGCAGGGCTGGGAGATCTCCGAGGCAGGAGTGGGGTCTCAAGGCAGGAGTGGGGTCTCGGGGGAAGAGAGCCGGGGGAAGAGAGCTAGAGGGACCTGAGGCTGGGGAGTTAGGAGCTGGGGAGGAGAGGTGGAGACATTGGGAGTCCAGGAGGCATTAGGGGACAGGGGATTGGGAGATAAAGGATTCGAGCCTGGGATGCTGAGAAATGGGATACTGAGAGACTTGGACGCTAAAGTCAAGGAGCCACGTGTTGAGGGACCAGGGTTCCAAGACCTGAAAAGAGGGTAAGGTGTTTGGGGCTGAGGGACAACCCAGTGGAGCTGAGCTGGGACAGAAAAATAGAGGAGCACACTGTCACTGAGAGGGAGAGGAGTCCCCAGGTGGACAGGAGGAAGTGCCGAAGGTCCCGGGCCAGGCCTTCCACATCCCCCCATGGCCAAGCTGGGGCCACTGGGGCAGTGGCGGGCCTTTCCTTTTCGGGCTGTCAGAGCGGGTTAGGCTCCGGGAATTGGTTCCCTGGATCATCTCCTGGGAGCCAGCCCCTCCTGGCAGCTTTGTTTGGCGAAAGCGCAGGGATTAGTGGGGCTGCCCCCACACCACCTCCCAGCCGCCAGCTCCTGGCGCTTTCATCCCTGAAGGTCGCTAAAGCCGCAGTGCTTTGAGATTAGGCCCCACAAAGGAGCCCCTTGTGCTCCAGCCAAGCCTGGGGGGCAGGGAGGGGAGGGGGTCCCAAGAACTCGGCCTAGACTGGCCCCTGAGACAAATCCTTCCCTTCCTCCCTGGAGCATCACGGAGGGTTCCCCTGGCCAAAGGCCGAAGACCCCTCCCATCTCTGCCCCCAGCTCAGAGACTGTCTCCAGTGGACCCTGGCAAGGGGACATTCAGGCTAGTTAGAGGTGACCCCCCCCCCGGCCTCATCAGCTCTGCCAGCATGTCAGCATCCACCTGTGGTCATCTCAGGCTAGAGGTGAAGGGGGTGGAGGGCAAGGAGGGGTGGGGGTACCCAGGGTAAAGGTCAGAGTGAGTCTAGGACCACAGACTGAAAAAGGGCATCTGTCTAACCTGCCATACAGCAGATGGGGAGACCAGCCAGGGCTGGGGAGAGAAAGGGGCTTGTCCTGGGTCATTCCAAGTCGCCGGCAGAGCTGAGGCAGAGATGAGGTGAGCTCTCTCTTTTACCTGGTGTCTGAGCCCAGGTCAGGGGTCAGCAGGTGTTCCTCTGCACTGCTTTGTGCCTCTTGCACAGAACAGAGTGATATTTTTAAAATGTGGGGTCCCGCATAAAGTTGCCAGCCATTCATTTTGCCATATGAGGTCCCTGAAGGAAAGTTACCAACTGTTCTCAGCCTCGTTTCATAAAAGAAAGGATATCGGAACATCAAAAAAGTTGAAAAGACATCATATCAGAATGGAGAGGATAGAGCTTCATATTGAATAGGTGTAGCTTTTTGCACAATTTCCTCTAAAATTTTTACAATTTTACTTTTCTCTTGTTGTTTGGGCAAACCATCTTAGGACTCCTGGACCAGGTGCACATGGAGAGGGTACCTGCCCCAAGGGGCTGGGGTGTGTCCGGGACCCAGGCCTGCCTACCTCTCAGTGCCAGGGGCAGGTGGGGGCGCTAGTTGTTTCATGTCTCACCCTGGGGAGGTGGAGCCAAGGGCAAGTGGGACTGGGCTGCTTCTCTGTGCGGTGAGAGCAGGCTTCACCTTGTCCCCCTCATCACCAAGGAGACCTAGGAAGAGGAGGGGGAGGGAGCAGGCCTGACCACGGGTCGATAGAAGAAAATTTCTTCCTGTCTTCTTGCTCATAAAATGTTTGTGGCCAACATATTGCACAACATTCCCAGAGAGGCCACAAAAGGCAGAGCTGGGCTGGCAGGGTCAAATGGAGCTCATGGAGTCCAGCCTGTCTGCTTAGCCCTCCACAGGCCTGCCTGACGGGATCGGGACAGGGCGGGGCCCAGGGGCACTGGGGCGCTGGTGGTGGCTATATGGGCTTAGCTTGAGGAACATCAAAGATGCTCGATAAATTCCTTGTGAGAAAGTGTCTACAGGGAGGGATCTGCCAATGAGAGGTAGGAACTGATGGTATCAGCTGAAACTCATGTGGGATTTATAACATACCAGGTACTGTGCTAACTGTGAACTCATGTAACCCTAGGAGGTAAGTGCTATTATTTCCCCCATTTTACATATAAGAACACTGAGGCACAGAGGTTGGGTGACTTGCCCACAGTCACACAGCTAGTCTGGCTCCATGGCCATGCTTGGAATTACTGTACAATTATACTGTTGTACTGTGGCCCTGAGCAAGTGTTACCTCTGTGTGTCCACCATCACCTGGCCATGCCTTCCTCACCTCGGGATGCTCCATGGTTTTCCTGGGGTTTGTTTGGAAGCATCAAGAGATGCTTGCCATTTTGCAGACACTGGGTAGAGTGGAAGCATCCTCTTGCTTAGTTGTGGTAGTTTAAGAAATATGTCCACAGGGATGCCCAGCGGTTGAGAGTTCGCCTTTGGTTCTGGGTGTGATCCTGGAGTCCCGGGATCGAGTCCCACACCGAGCTCCCTGCATGGAGCCTGCTTCTCCCTCTGCCTGTGTCTCTGCCTCTCTCTCTCTTTCTCTCTCTCTCTCTCTCTGTGTGTGTGTGTTTCTCATGAATAAATAAATAAAATCTTTTTAAAAAAAGAAATAATGTTCCCAGATTCTTTGATACTTCTTCCTTTGAGTGGTGGAGGTTCACTGTCCTCTCCTTGAGTGTGGGTTGGACTCAGTGACTTGCTTACCAAGACAAGAACATAGCGGAAGTGATGGGATGTCACTTTTGAGATTAGGTATAAAAGATTACAGCCTCTATTTTGACCTCTCTCGCTCTCTCATATTCCAGCCACCATTTAAGAAGAAAGAAGTCCAGGCTACCTTGCTGAAGAGCCTGCATGGAGGAGAACTGAGGCACCGCAGCTGACAGCCAGCACCAAATGCCAGCCATGCCAAGAAGCACTCTTGGAAGAGATCCTCCAGCCCCAGTCAAGACTTCAGAGGGTGTAGCCCAACCAATACAACTGCCATCCACAAGAGATCCCCAGGCCAGAACCAGCTAAACTGCTCCTGGATTCCTGCCCCTCAGAAACTGTGATATAATATAGGTGTCCTTCGCTTTATTGAGCTTTGCTTTATTTTAGTTTGTCGATGCTCTGTTCTTTTTATGAATTGAAGGATTGTGGCAACCCTGCATCAAGCAAGTCTATCAATGCCATTTTTTTCAACAGCATTTGCTCACTTCATGTCTGTGGCACATTTTGGTAATTCTTACAAGATTCCAAATCTTTTTGTTATTATTATATTTCTTAGCGTGTTCTGTGATCAGTGAGTGTGACCTGCTGAAAGCTCAGATGATCATTGGCATTTTTTAGCAATAAAGTATTTTTAATAAGGATATGTACATTGTTTTTTATTTTTTAAAGATTTTATTTATTTATTCATGACGAGAGAGAGAGAGAGAGAGAGAGAGAGAGAGAGAGAGAGAGAGGCAGAGACACAGGCAGAGGGAGAAGCAGGCTCCATGCAGGGAGCCCGATGTGGGACTTGATCCCAGGTCTCCAGGATCACACTCCGGGCTGAAGGCGGCGCTAAACCGCTGGGCCACCGGAGCTGCCCTATTTTTATGTTTTTAGAAGATTTTATTTATTTATAAATAATCACACAGAGAGAGGCAGAGACATAGGCAGAGGGAGAAGCAGGCTCCCCTCAGGGAACCTGAGATGCGGACTTGATCCCAGGACCCTGGGATCATGCCCTGAACCAAAGGCTCAACTACTGAGCCACCCAGGTGTCCTTGTACATTGTTTTTTAGATATAATGCTATTACTCACTTAACAGACTACAGTATAGTAAAAACATAACTTTTATATGCACCAGGAAACCCAAAATTCATTTGACTTGCTTCATTGAGATATTTGTTCTATTGTGATGGTCTGGAACTGAACTTGCAAAATATCCCTGAGGTGTGCCTGTAAATTGTTTGTTTTAAGCCACCTAAGTTTAGGAGTCCTCTGTTATACAACGACGGAGAACTGATACATTTGGCCAATCTCATGGTCTGGAATCTCCCCATTAGATCTTCACCTATGGTTGGGTTAAGTCCCTGTCTCCTCCATGTCTCCCCCCACCCCCAATCCTGAGATAAGTAACAACTGCTAATGCCGATTTGCTGAATCAGTTAATGGTCCCAGGATGGTTAGGTGATGCCATTCTGGAAATGGCATGTGGCCACTTAATCATTCTGAACCCACCCAGGCCGGGGGTGGTCACCAATGAGTAGTTTTGACAGAATTATGTGACTTTACAGCTTTCTCATACAGTGGCTTCCAGACCCCCCAGCCTCACCCCCCACTTTAGTTGACAGCAAAGGTCCAGGGCAGTCATGGGGATGAGGCCCTGGGGAGAGCTGGATTGACTGGAGTCGGGCCCAGATTCCACAGATCCCATCTCGGGCTCTGACACTCCTGGCCTCTTTCCATTCCTTGCCCAGTAGTGGCCATAGCTGCATTCATGAGACCCACTGCCCCCCTTCAGCATCTTCCAACCTCTTTTCAGAGTCCCCATTCTTGGCTGGCCACCGACCCTGAGTCACCAGCTAGTGTGATGTGATCGTGCACATCTCAGGGCCATGGTGCACATATGTGAGTGTAAGATGTGAGGTGGGAAACATTTGTATGTAGACGTATGCACTGGTGGCTTTCGTGAAGCATATGCATTTGTGCACATGTGCATTTGATTTGGGTTTCTGGGTGGAAAGGAATGTGTATGCTCTTGTACTTCTGTGCGTACCTGGGAGAGTGTGTGTATATATACCTGAGGATCCGAGGATCTGCACGATGGCTTTATAGGGGCCTGTGCGCTTCAGTCAGTGTGTCTGTGTTTACTGCAACTGGGATGTGTGCAACTGGGATGTGTGGCTGTGTGTCTGGCTTTCCCGGGCCAGGTACGAGCACTATAAGCGCCTGGACTGCGGTCCTTAAAGGGTTAAGGGAAACAGGAGCCGCCATAACTCTTAATCATAGCTTTGCAAGCTTAGCCAGTGCCCCTGTTGAAAAATGTTTCAAAAAGCAAAATAAATGATCTTTTAGTTACAGAAGTATTGATTTTGCCCACATCTAGTAATAAAGAGCAAGTCACCTGTAGCTAAAACTCTTGTAAAATATATTTTATACTCTAATAGTCTGCAGATAGAGTCACCCGCTGAGCACAGATGACAAATCTCCCCAGCGCGGCCTGCGCCCCCCATATTTCACGTCAGGGACGCAGTGGTGGCGCAGGCAGCAACATAGCTGGGTCTCCCTGCGGGTGAAGACATGGCCTAGTTGGCTACAGGAAAAGAAGAAAGTCAGGTTCCTGGCACATGGTCCATTCCCCTGCCCCCACCTGGGCACTCAGCACCAACCTGGGTCATGGTAGAGGTTCAAGACCTCCTGTCCTTCAGAGAGAGTGCCCCTCCTCTATCCAAATCCCTTAGAAGGGGCGCCACCCCCGCCCCCAGCTCTCAGAGCCTGGCCACATCTCTCCTCTCCGTATTACCCAGCTACAGAGGCTGACAGTGTGAAAATGTTGAGGATCTAGGAGAAGAGTCAACAATGGGGTGGGGGCTCCTTCCTGGTTTGAAGCCAGCTACCCTAGGTATGCACTGACATGTCCACACATATGCCACTTGCTGCCCACCCCCAGGCCTCCATGTACACTCAAAAAGACACACTTGGCCCCCAATGCATACATATATCCAGAGGGACACACTTGACATCCCCCCACCTGCACAAGTATACACCACTTGGCTTTATCGGTACAAGACACACACACCCAGCAGCTCACCTAAGACACATCCATTCCCTTCATGGGGATCTGCCATATGTCTAAAGAACCACATCCACCCTACCCAGAGGATTTTTAAAAAGGAAGATTTCTGTCTGAAATGACCAAATAGTCACTTTGCTTTTGGGGCCTGAATATGTGGCATGCTCTTCTCTCATTATCTTTTATACATAGATAAATCTGGCCAAACACACCTCCTTTCATTTATAGCTCTCCCCACCCCTCCCTGCAGGTGGGAGAGGAGTTGCTTTAGAAGGGTGCCCAGATCTCCTCGCCTCCTGTACTTCCAGAGGGGGTGCATCCAGAGATGAAGCCGAGGCCTGGGAGGCCACACACCTGGTTCCAGTCCCTCTTCTGCACTGACCTGCTGTGTGGCCCTGAATTTCTCTGAGCCTCTGTTTGGATAGGGACCAACATTTTCCTCTGGCATTTATGGCCTCGCCTCAGAGAAAGGTCACATAACTCACCATCAAGGTCCCTTACCAAGGTACTATTGGAGAAGTCAGAGTGCCCTCCCACCTCCACAGTTAACCAGCTGCCTTGGGCCACCCCGATCCCCACAGTTAGGTTACCTGAGAGCAAAAGTGGTGGGAGGAAATTCAAAAGCAGGGTAGGGGAGACCCCTTTCCTCCCAAAGCTGGTAATTAATAGGGTTTTCCAATCCCTGATGGTAGGGGGATAGGTAGAGGGGGTGAGGAGGGCGCAGAGAAGTGGGGGGGGGACCCTCTGGGAGTAAGAAGGTGGGAGTTAATTCAGGTAGTGTTGAGAATAAGGTTGAGACACGGTGGGAAGGGGCCAGAAACCCGTGGGGGGAAGGGGGTAGGAAGGCGAGGGGAACAGGTAGGGACCCCCAGCTAGGGGAGGCAGGAACGCAGGCAGCCAGCAGGGTGAGTGCGTGTTGCGGGGGGCTGACTTTGGGGTGGTCGGAGGGCCGGGAATTCGCAGGGGCATCCGAGCGGCGAGGGGCAGTGGGCATCGGAGGGAGGGGACGCAGGTAGCCGCCCGCGCGGGGCTGGAGCTGGGGGGAGGGCTCTTTAAGCGGCGGCCGCGCTAATAACCTGTCCAGGAGATGGCTCGTGGCAAATTGCTTTGTTAGTCTTGTCAGCGCGGCCGGGGCCGCCGTCAGCGCGCGCCATGGATCAAGATGATGAATCGCCGCGGACCGCGCAGATGCGGGCGGCCCACGGCCCTGCCCGGGGGTGGGGGCGGGGGCGGGGGCGGGGGGGCGGGGGGAGGCCGCGGGGGGCCGGGCCGCCGCCTTCGACTCTCGAATTAGCTCTAAGCCGCCGGCCACCGCCACTGCCCCGGGGAGCGCCGGCCGTGGGGGCCGTGGGGGGGGGGGGGGGGGGGCGGCGCCCCCCATGCGGAGCCAGGACTGGGGGCCGGACTCGCGTCTCATCGGGACGCGGGGGACAGTGGGGTTCCGCGAAGGAGCGGGGAGGGGCACGGCCGCAAGTCTGGGGGCGAGCCTCTTCCATGGGGCCGGGGTTCGGGCCGCTGAGGGTCTGGGGCGCCCACCGAGCGGCCTCTTGGGGCGTCTGCCCCCTTCCCTCTGGCGCTGCGAGTGGCCGAAGAGGCCAGAGTCCTCCTTGAGTGTGCATGTGGGGGCGGCGGGGCAGGGGTTGGTGCGGCATCGCTGCTCTAAACTGGGCCCAGAGCTGGGACTTTGGGGAACCTCGGACCCTCACTTCCCAGATGTTTCTTTCTTTTTTTTTTTATTTACTTATGATAGTCACAGAGAGAGAGATAGAGGCAGAGACACAGGCAGAGGGAGAAGCAGGCTCCGTGCACCGGGAGCCCGACGTGGGACTCGATCCCGGGTCTCCAGGATCGCGCCCTAGGCCAAAGGCAGGCGCCAAACCGCTGCGCCACCCAGGGATCCCCTTCCCAGATCTTTCTACACAGGTGGCTGGGACCCCGTGGTCTCAGAGTCTCCAGGCCTAGCAGCACCCGGTTTTCTCCCAGGTCCCCAGTTAACCCATCCCTGCGCACCCACTGCCTGGGTCCAGTTTAGAAGCATCTGCCCCAACAGGCCGCGCAGCCCGCACAGGCACAGTGCGCATTCACATACCGTGTATTTAAGCCTGCACGCACGTTATGCACAAATATAGGAGTACATACATGCAACTCCCATGCCCGAAACTCTCAGGGTAATGAATGCACACAAACATACTAGCGCATCCCGAAATGCACTGCTTCCCCCACTCCCAGCCCCAGCAACCCAGGAAAGTCTTTTGGGGGCGGGTCCCCAGCCAGTCTGGGGACGCCTTCCTTTTAAGCCCTTTGAAGGTGTCAGCCACAGCGGGGGGCGGGGAGGGTGGGAGGTTCCAGGGGCTGGCAGGGGAGAGAAGTCCTGAATCATTTCTACTTCTTAGCTCCTGTCTAGACGGTGGCACCTTTGGAATCATTTTGTTAAATCAGTAAAACCCACCCACCTTGTGGCTTGCCAAGCTCCCCATCACCCCAAGCCTTCCTAAAGGACACCTTCCCTCTGCCCCTCCTCTATCATTTTCCTCTCTTTCTGTCCCAGCCTGTGCCAGATATTTTGTTCACCTCCCCCCCTCTCCCAGC